AATAATTTATAATAATAATAACATTATTATTTATTATTTAAACAGTTTAATAATAATAGTGACAATGATGATGGTAGCAATGGTGATAACAATAACGGTAATTATTTTACAATTAATTAATAAATAATCTACATTAAATAATTTATAATAATAATAACATTATTATTTATTATTTAAACAGTTTAATAATAATAGTGACAATGATGATGGTAGCAATGGTGATAACAATAACGGTAATTATTTTACAATTAATTAATAAATAATCTACATTAAATAATTTATAATAATAATAACATTATTATTTATTATTTAAACAGTTTAATAATAATAGTGACAATGATGATGGTAGTAACAATGGTGATGACAATAACGGTAATTATTATACAATCAATTAATAAATAATCTACATTAATTATTATACTAATAATAATAACATTATTATTTAAACAATTTATAATAATCATAGGGAGAAGAACTGATTATAATGAAAGATCAATAATTATAACAAATAACAAATGAACTAATGGTATGAAGGATTAATAATTATGAAAGATCAATAACAATAATAATAGTTATAGTTATTTTTTAATTTCCTTTATAGTTATGTCTATTGGGTGGGTACTGATAAATAAGCTATGTGTAATACCCTTGCTTTTGCAAGATTCCCAGCCTTTAAAAAGCTGCAAGAATGCCTTACTAGATTAGATTATTCAATCTGCACACTTTAATAGACATAATTCCCCCTTTCCTTTTTTTTCGTGTATTATATATATAACCCCTCTTTATATAATTTTTCTTGATCGACCATGGTTACATAAGTCCGTTAAGTCCGTTAAGTCCGATTAGTTCGATAATTTTTCTCTTTCTTGTCTGCAAGGAGCCGGTCACCTTGTGGTCATATTTTCCATTTGTTAATATTTTAATTGTTATTTTATATTATTTTATATTATGTATAATTATATAATAAATAAAGATATTAAAAATATTATGTAATATAGATCGATAATATTGATAATATAGATAATATAGATAATATAGATAATAGAATAGGTTGTGGCTTGATTAAGTGTTAAATATGTATTCAAGCCACACCTATTAAGGTTATAGCTTAATTAGGTGTTAAATATTATGTATCACATATTCAAGCCACACCTATTAGGGTTGTGGCTTGATTAGGTGTTGAATATTATATATAACATACTTAAATAAATATTAAAATTTTGACTTTATACTTATTATATACTTCTCTCTCTCTCTCTTATTAGATACTTGATACAGATTGTTTTAATCAATTTTATTAGATTATTTCTTTATTATTAATAAATAAAATAATATAAATTAAACATTAAATCTTCGATTCAATGGAATTATTGATACATAATTATTCTTATCCCTAACCCGATAGTCTATCTTAATGGCTCTACCATATATTCTATGCACTGCTATAATTGAATCTTGACCTTCCTCATAGTATTCTTTTTTCCACAATTCAGTATTTGATACTTCGGGTCCCATAAATTTATGCTTAAATCGAATACTAGAGGAAGATGCATTTTTATACCATTTCACGTAAGCTAGAAGATGTGTTTTGGGTCCCCTTGGAAGTGTTAGAGTATGTTCGAAGTAAAATTGTACCTCCCCAGGGTAAATATCACTTGTTCTATCTCTATATGCCTTCCACTTCGCTAATATAATTACATTGTTTTCATGTCTTCCCGTGATTTTGGACCCAAATATTTCATTACCTATTTGTAATCTTGCATATTGGTTCATATTCACTTCCATACATGCCTTCACATCTTTTTTTTTTTTATTATACAATGTTGCATACCATTCGCATAATATTTTTTGAACATCTATAGGAATACTTACCTTATACGAAGGTGTTAGCATACGTCCTGGTATATTTTCAGTGCCATAGATCTTATTGGACATGTTATGTCTCAGGGAGATGAAATACTGTAACTCTTCTCTATCAAATTCATTA